TTTTTTTTTTTTTTTTTTTTTTTTTTTGAAAGTGGAGATTTCACACCTGACACTTTAATAAGCAACGTCCACTTGTCATCCGTACAAATTTTTATTCATAATTCTTATCACATATAACGTATGGACGCATTGTGTTACGTTCAGCCGGTCGGAAGTAGTTAGAAGAATACTTGTTGGTAAATTTTTAAAATTTTTACTTGGAAATCAGGTAGACAATTAAACCGCGAGAATATTCAGTTAAATGCTCGCGTGAGACTCGCACGAGTTTCAGATAATGAATCCATCTTTTTTCTCATTCACGATGAATTAAGATAACGAGAATTCCGGTGTCCGGTGAAATTCTCCTGGGCACACGGAAATATCTAAAGTTAATTTTAAAAGGTTGTAAAAAAAATCTGATGATGTTTCACTGACGTTAAGAAGTCATTGACAATGCTGACACTTGAAATCTTAATGTCCCTGGCGTGTGATGTGCACCTTCACCCGAGTCTGATATATACTCACGCATGTTTTGTGTATGAATTAATTTATACCTTCGTAAAAAGTGTGGGTGATGCAGAGACTTTCTCCTTGGAACAAACTCCGTGCTATCGTTACTTCCATAACAGATCTTACTTTCTCCAGGTTGGTAGTAATCACGCACCAGACTGAGCACTCGCACGCATGGATAAATATAGTGCGCAAAAAGTGCCTGTACGTCGAAGTGATTGCATCATGTAAATATGAGATTTTTGGTAGACGATACAAAGAATGATGGGAAAAGAAATATGGCAAAGAAGTTTGAACTGTTTAACAAAATATTAATAGACGTTTATTTATATGAGAATTAGTTAACAATATAAAAACTAACAACAACAACAGCGTATAAAGTCAATAGTAACGGACAACTTGTACAAATCCCCATATACAAGGGCACATCAGTCGAGTAGCAATCGCTAAAGTACCTATGCATCTTATAATTAATATATACAGCGGCTTATGTTACATTCACGGGTTTTGTACGTGCTACGGAATTATCTGTATTAGCGACTGGGAAATTTGAATGAACTACCGTTGTCTTGATTGGCTGCTGGTACCGGTGGCGGTACCAGACCTTGGGATAACGTCGATGGACTTTGATTGGGTTGCCCCACCTGGAGAGACCTGTCCCATGTTACTCTGTTGGTATCTGTCAGTTGTTGATTTTGTTGATTAGCTGCTTGAAGACTGTATGGTACTATTTGAGGTTTTTGGGTTTGAGTGTCTTTGCGATCCTCCCATCCATGTCCATGATGATCGTGATGATCTTCACTGGGGAACCATTCGGATATCCAGACGGGTTTCCAGATCTTTTTCCAACCTGGTACCCAGATCTGCTTCCAGGCCGGTACCCAGATTTGTTTCCATGCTTCCTTCCAAGCTAGTTTCTTATCAGGAATCCACTCGAGCTTTTTATCTGTCTTCCATACTTGCTTCCAAGCTTCCTTCCATTCGAGCTTCTTGTCAGGGATCCAAATTTGTTTCTTTGCTGGTTTCCAGATCTGTTTCCAGTCTTCCTTCCATACAAGCTTCTTGTCGTCCACCCAAATTTGCTTCTTCGCTGGCTTCCAAATCTGTTTCCACTCTTCCTTCCATTCCAATTTCTTATCAGGTAGCCAGATTTGTTTTTTCGCTGGTTTCCAGTACTTTTTCCATAGCGGCTTCCAGACTAGCTTCTTCTTCCAAAGGTCGTGACTTGTGTATTGCCAGCCATGATCATCGGTACCATGATAATGTTCACCAGGGATGCCGACCTTGACCCACTCAGGTACCCAGATTTTCTTCCATGCTGGTACCTGAATTTCTTTCCATGCAGGGACCTGGATCTCTCGCCATATTGGTTTCCAGACTTTCTTCCAGTCTGGTACTTGAATCTCTTTCCACGCAGGTACTTTTATTGGCTTCCAAATAGGCTTCCAGACTTTCTTCCATGCCGGCACCTGTATCTCTTTCCATGCAGGTACCTGTATTTCCTTCCAGACCGGTTTCCAAATTTTCTTCCAAGCAGGTACTTGAATTTCCTTCCAAACAGCTTTTTGCGTGGGTTCCCAGACTGGCTTCCAGATCTTTTTCCACGCGGGCTTCCAGATCTGCTTCTGGGCAGGCTTCCAGATTTTCTTCCAGCCAGGTTTCCAGATCAGCTTCTTTTTCCAGTAACCTGGATCATGATGATCATGATGATCGTGATGATCATCATGTTCCTCGTGATGCTCTTCATGGTGATCACCTATTGGTGCTCCGTAGTTGTAACCACCCTCTTCATCGCCCCATCTTTTTTGAGCCGCTGTACCATATCTAGAATAAATTAATAAAGTCTCTTATTCAATTGATCTACGTCACAATAGCATTTGATAAAATATATATATTTAATTGAAGAAACTTACGGAGTTTGTTGCTGTGTCTGCTGCTGCAGCTGTGTTTTATCCAAGGCCTTACTCGCCACAAGAACGACTTGCAGTAGCACTACTAGTGCAGCCTAAGAAAAAAAAAGCATCAATGAGAAGATAAAATAAGAATTGAAAGTTGCCCCAGTCTGCATGAATGCCGAATAAAAGGAACACAAAGGGACATGACACAATGGATCGATTACCGCTATCAATCGATCGGTTCGTCGTCAATAGATTGCTACGGCTATTTTGTTAAAATGGACTTTAATTAGCATTCGAGAAATAGCCCGGGGCCAAAATCAATTTAAGCAATGCCGGAAGGAATCCAAGTAAAAAAGAAGTATATTCTACTTTCTCCGCCTTCGCATAATGAAATTAAAAGAAACGCATCCGCGATCACTTTCGACCGATCGATAAAATACACCTTGACACACCATTTTATAAATTTTAGTACCACAAAAACCCCAAATAGTGCATTCGCCAAGAAAATACCAACAAAACAGAGTAAAAATTGCTTCAAGCACACATGCAACAATATAATCTGATCGTCGTTCCCGATACAAACCCAAGATTCGTGCTCGAGTGCAATAGTAGTAATAAAAAAAGACAATCGTCAAAACGTCCCACTAAATCAACTTAACATTGCCCAGCTACAAGCATAGACAAATCCGACGAACGAAATCGGATAGGCTGTCAAGTAAATAAGATTGTTAAATACAATAAACTAACCGCGCATTTCAGGCGAATTCTCATAATGTCGAGGTGCCGCCCGTTGGGCTCGGGCGCGAATTCTTGTTCCCTAGGCTCAGGAAAACGTAGCTTACTTCGTCCAATCAGCGGAACGCCGTAGTTATATAGGCGCGTATCCTTCCCCAAGAAGCCGGGAAGGATGCACGAAACGGACATGGGTCGAAGAAGGCAGTCACGGTGGAGGAAGTGGAGCCCGTGGAAGTGGTAGGTGGAAGTGGAAGTGGGGAGAGTCGTGTCCACCCAGGTACATGGGTCCGGTGATCGAAAGACCTTACGTGAACCTTCCTCTTCTCTACTTCTCTCACGGTCTTAGTCTCTTCACCCAGAAAGCGATTACCATCGCACGGAGAAAGTGATCGAGAAGTTTGCCAGCCAACACGAGCCGCCATTACGCTCCTACCAGGACGCTGAAGTTCAGGCGCAAGGTTACGTATAGCAAGGTTACTCTTGCTCCAGATATTCATGATATTGCCGCAGAAACTCGAGCATGCTTCTTGATCGGGGAGAACCTGTCTCTCCTTGACTTTTGGGCCCTATCGAGTCCCGTTCGTTGTACAGTTTCACCGCCCACGGGAAAGAAACGTTCGCATCGGACTCCCAAGAAATTTTCTGCTTACGAGTAAGTTTCGCTAGAGTAGCGTGGACCATTTTTTAGATTAATTTCAAGGTCGTTCTAGATGAGATAAAATGATCTGTCATCGGGTCCATTAGTCATTGTGTAAGATTAGTACAATGTTTACGGTACTCCGTATAAGGTGTATATACATAGTTATGGGCATAATTACAGAATTTTCATTTATTTTCATATACTCTCTTGTTGAATTCTAGTTTTCGCTGTACTTCCGCTTTTTTTTTATTTACCAGCCGGAATTCCGACGAAAGTAAATTCCTTGGGGTCACGAGTTGGAATGATGGAGAAATGCTCTACTAAGAAGCGAAACTATCACGCTCGCCTATTCCGGTTTGTAAATCACATCAGGCTACGATCGGTAACTCCACGACAAGGTTACGCTTGCTCCAGATTTTTGAATCCAGATATATTATATATATGCGAGTCTCTTAATATTCGGCTCGCTTTCCAGAATCCAGGACGTAAGAAAAGTTTCACCGATGGTTGGCCGATTTCGTTATTTCATACGATCATTTATTTATATGATGTTACATTAACTATGAACTTCCGGAACTAAGATACGCGTGGGCAATAAAATTCTTGAACTCTCTTTTTTTTATAGAAAAAAGTTTAGATCAATTGAGCGGTGATCATGATCGATTGGATCGATCGATCATTCATAAGGGTACATGAAAAAAAAATTGATCTAATTTAATTCTTGATTGTTCAACACATTTAAAAAAAATTGTATAAAACTTACACATTTTATTTCGTACAAGTATCATTTTGAATATTTAAATTTCGAGTTGCTTTCTAAATATTTTTCTATTGATGCTCTAAACCTTGAATAGTTCATTCATTCTCGAGATGACCCGATCGAAAGTACGTTATGAAATACGCCATTGAAATACAATGATCCTTATAAAAATAAATTATATTAACAACGCGTCGGAACTATCGGCTATTCGTACAATTATCAACCAATTAAAAGAGGTTGCCTTGCCCTAAAATTCACCACCCGGGGCGATTGCTATAGCCAGATCGTCGTAGCATCAGCATTAGTATTTAATTATTATTCCGATCTCTATAAGCCGTCTCAACACTATAGGCGATTTATCAAATTCTCCGCATAAATTATACATCCGTAATCTCCAAAGTCGTGTTACTCGGACTCATAAAAATCATAAGTTTGTCACACGAGTAGCGCCTACAACCATTCGAAGAAAGTTTCAATTTAAAGCAACGATACCAATAGTCAACTGTATGTCCTATTACGCGTACATTAACCTACCAATAACCGTACGACAGAAACTGGATCTATCAAGATAGATCGTACCGATTCTTTTAGGTTAAATGTCATTAGCAATGTATGTAAATATACGCACTACGTCTGATTTCCTATTTCAATATGTTCCTTCTTTGCTGTTTCAATATGATCCTATTACGATATTTCCCTTTACGTTCGAGTATATCATAGAAAAGTTAATCTAAGAATTCCCAAAATAACCGAAACCTACCTTATTTATTAGCCCGAAAGATTCTCAGTGAAAGGCATTCGCTATGTAATCCAAGTCAGTGCAGGCAATGGGTTCGTGGCTTTGGTACTAATAACGATACTGGCTGCGTTTCCATTTAGGTAAACGTTACCCAACCTGAGAGCTTCACGCAATTAGAGTGCTAATCGTGTTTTCGCCAAGTCTATTACTCCGAATCCGTGACCCACGTACGCAACATAGAAACACGTAGGATACGGTTCATATATGTTTACCCACACGGCGTCACCCATCCGGTCGAGTAACATGGAGGCGTTCAGTGAAAGTGATAAGTGACCAATTGATGTAAGAGACTCTCTTTGAAGGCAGTCGGCAGTTCGCTGCGTAACGAGATGCACGTACATACAGCTTTGTTAATACAGATTATAAATAAATAGAGTTATTCAACCACTGTTTCAACGTACGAATCAAATGCGTTGCCAACTTCAGGTGATACCGCCACCAACAATCTTTATAGAGATACGTGCAAAAGTAGAAATCCTTTTCCCGTTATAAAATGGTGACTAATTAAAGTCATTATCAAGGTATACACTCGCTTGAATCAAGGAAATTTTTCAAGGTCGTTCTTTTCCTTTAAAACCGGATTCTTCTCGAGGTGCACAAACACGATTTCTTGTAGACCCCACGACGGAAACGCGGAGCCACGACTCTCTACAAGACGTATTCCCGTGTTTGGAGAACTGTGAGAATCGGAACTGTCTCGTGCGAGACACGTCTTTGATAGATAAAAACAAGTATCCTGAATTCTATACTAGTTGGATCTTAGAAGATCAAAAGGACCTATTTCTCGTATTTAAAAAAGCAAGCAAAGAAATCTTACTTCCACGTCCCTGACCGAGTATTTATCTTGTACAAAGAAGATACACCCTGCTGAGTATGCTTGTACCAGTCCAGTGATCACATTGCGAGCAGCCATCCTCGAAGATCCGTAGACATTACTCCCAAGACGTGAACGCGAAATCACGAGGCCATGACTAAGCAAAAAAAAAGATTCTTCCTCGAAACAACTATCTTCCTCCAAGTACCGTAGACTGGCCAACAAATCTTTTTTCGCCTACCTCTTTCCTTTATCAAAGGCTAATGACACTTAATGCGTTTCTACTACGACTTATGACCTTTTTGTTTCTCTGCTAACAAGAAAAAAAAGGTTTACATAGTCAACTATGTATTATAGCTTATACGGATCATAATCATGTACATGGAGGCTAGGGTCACCTAGAGCATCCACTCGGTAATGCATTATGGCTCTTTAACTTCTCATGGAGAGTACATATCGACGCGAGATCCATTACGAGAAAGTTGCGATGCACGAGCATGAAATCTATTCATTTATACGTAATTCAGGGAATCTTGACCGGGTTTATGATTAATGACTATTAAATTAATCGAGGGTAAGAGTAGTTTTCGATTTCCTAAAGTTAGAATACTGGTATCCATTTATTTTATCATATATCTTTGTCAAGTGACCACTTCGTTCCGATGCACTGTATACATACAGTTTTTCAAAAGATCCTAACCGGTACCATGTACCGTTTCTTCGAGAGCTATCTAATGTCAGTAGCTTGATCTTCTAGCAGAGGCCAATTTTCTCGACGGATCGCGACACGGCAAAAAGCTTGCGGGATCGAAACAGAAGAATGGAGAATCTGTGCAGGGTTCGTGTGTGTCACTCCATACATAGTTACGTGAAAGTAGCCTTGCTCGTTTATACTCCGGATAGTTATTGGCCGGTCGCGTCCTGCATAATCTACTTTAGCTAATGCGTGGCCACGCAGAAAATTGGACGAGGTATGTAGGAGAGACAGTGCGTGACAGTTCAGATAAAATTTTAGATTCGCGATCGTCCATTATTGTGGTAGTAAAGACAGTCCTTGATTTAAATAGTTTTATTAATTTGACTTCTTAGAATATTGATAACGACGCTAGTAGATGATACTACTCGTTGATCGAACGTGACTGAATACTCATACTAATTTTCTTCCTTTCTCTATTAGTATCGATGCGAGGAAGACGACGGCAGTCGCAACTTGGTACTAATTGACGGATCGCTGCATTTAGTTCCTTTTACTTCGCACAGTCTCGCGTCTATTTCCTCAGGCTGGGCGCAACAAAGTTAATGAACTTTCTTGTTCACCAAACGCCTAAGGACTGTCAGTGGATATTAGGAACGGTGCGAGTCTGTATATCTTTTTTTATACGTTGAATGACGTGCTTGTCTTTTTGTATGTTTTTGAATTTGAGAGTGTCCGGAAGTGATCGCTACTCGTAAAAGGGACAGGGGAGACTAGCTATGGCTAGGATGCTAAGATACCACTGTGGTGGTCCTGCATTAACATTTTGCCGAATATGACGTAAACTATGAAATTAAGCATAACTGGCTTTCAGATATAAACACACCAGGATGTAAATCTGAAAACGGCTGCATCGTGGAATTGGGTCGTATGAATAAATAAATACAGGAGAGTGTTTACACGGTGAGTGGGTGTTGAAGAAAATTTTTGAAAATCACGTTCAATTATTGGCCGTAACAAAAGATTGATTTTTTATAATTTATATCTATCGGTATTATATGTTATCGACTGATAAAACAATTGTCACGGCTTTTGGATGTTGATTGATTTTATGAGTATTTTCAAAAATGATGGCTCGATTGCAGGTCTCTTGTATAAATCGTGTGTATATCCACGACTCACTTTCTATTGGGTAATACATGTGATCGTATAAGTCCACATGGCTGAACGTACGCCATACATAAAGCATGATCAACTTTCGATAGACTGATTTCTTGTGGTTAAACCAGATTCGATCATTATTCAATGAACTTTCCGTAAATATTCCGAATTTTCATCACGGACATTAATGCCGACCGGGTGATAAGAATTAAAATGAAAAAAATTTTCATCGACAATTTTTAACTTCATGTATGATTTTACCTGTATTTAAATCTGTATTTTTCATATTCACAGCTAGTACGTGGGAATACCTTTAGTGGGAGATTCAAGAAACTATAGTCAAGGTGGTGGCGACCAATTCGACCAATGAGACCCCGACTGCGTAGTGGGGAGAATTTCTTTTAAAAAGCACCGAGATTCAGGACTCGTCGGTCATTCGCTGAGACGAAGCCCTGGAGAAATTTCTTGAGAAATGCGGCGACATGTGCTATTCGCGTCTGGCTTATGCATCCTTTATCGGATCGATATTTCCGACAGGTCGAAGGCTATTAGGGTTGGTTTTCACACGGGAAGACTTTCACTTGCTATGTGCATCGGTACGAAGCCTTTCTCTTAAACTTAGTTGCAGTACTGTATACATATAAATGTATATATGCTATATGTATAGTCATATCGCGAATAAGATTTATACGTACGGGAAATGTTGAGGACGTGACTGCTTCCAGGGGTCTGAACAACTTGTACGGTCGTTCGAAAGTGAATAATTTTATTCGCCATTGAAAAATCTTTGAGAAAGAGAAAAATTGTCTTAGGTGTGTCTTTGTGCGTAGGATGGAATTTCTATAAGATCCAATGGGTCAAGTGTGGCTCTCTCTGAATGAGAATAAAATCCTACGCTAGTACGAGAGAGAGAGGACATTTTTTTCAGAGAAAAAGAAGCGGCATATTTAATAGAACCTCGTTCAAAGGAATCCTGTGAATTATTCTCAGAGAAACAACACTTTTCACGCGCTCTTACTCTTCTTAATTAGTAAGCGATTAATTACGCTTTTTTGTAGGTTCTGCAGCCGTAATCGCGAACGAGAAAAGTTTTCGTAATTAAATGCTTCGAGAAGATGCACCTGAATCCCGTTAAGGGAAGACTATTTCCGGTTTCCTTAAAGACAAGCAGATTGGCGCGTATAAATGGGGTCCCATGCTTGTGAAGGAAAGTCAAAGTACCAGGAGAAAGTAAAGGTCATGGGCCCATTTCATGACCCTGGGGTATTCACAAGGATCGTGTTGCTCCCTTGAGATGTATCTTATCCCTAGAAAGCATCTTCTTCCGATTTCGCCGTCTCGGATAAACGAGACGATAGAAACTCGTTAGAGTCGCTGAAGAGAAGACTTTCATGCAAATCGACCGTAATGACGTCAAAAGTCATAAGCGCCGATTTGTGCGTAACGAGTTCAGCTACTTCGGGAATCAAGATTAGTTGAAATCTTGGGGTTATACGTGTTGGAATGTAAAAGCAGTGAGTTAGTAAAGATAAAACGTGTAGAGAATCAAGATTAAATGCTAAAGAAGCCAGAGTGCTTCCGTGTGCGATGAATCTTATGAGGGCGACAGTTCGGCTTGGCTCATACTTTTATATTGGACTGTTGTCAATATTATAATAAAAGGAGTTACTTCATTTATTTTTCCTTTGAGACGTAAATTCAATTTTCTTGTAAAATATCTTTATTTTATTAAAAAATGAACAAATAGGTATAATAGTACAAAAATAACAGTCGGATCGAGACCCGTCCTCAAATTCATTAACATTATTTACAAGATGCACCTATCGTGACCGGTGAACGCTTCGTCGGAACGTCATTCGCGTTGCTCTTGGACTACCAGCAGTTACGATACCGGTAGTTTTCGTTATTTCCCCGCTGACATTTTGATGCATATATAAATTGGATGGTAAAACTTTCCATGTTATCGCATCTCTGAAAATATATGTACATGACAGATATGTATAATTGTTAAAATAGAATTTCCCAGCAAGGAAAATTCGCGTTGCGATATAACGTGGCAGGGCCGGAATACTATGACCTCTGATACGGTGAGATACGAATGGAAGCTTGATGCGTATGTCACGTTCGAACTGTTGGTAAATTGAATATTGTTGTACTTATTTATAACCATGTTCCTCATGATGGGGTTCGGCAGGGACCCAAACTTTCTCCCACACTGGCTTCCAGACCTTCTTCCAAGCTGGTACTTGAATTTCTTTCCAGACAGGCACCCATTTGCTCTTCCACTCGTCTTTCCAAACTTGCTTCTTTTGCGTGACCCAGATCTGTTTCTTTTGTGGTACCCAAACTTGGACAGATTCCTCCTTCCAGATGAGTTTCTTGTCAGGGACCCAAGCCTGCTTCTTTTCCGTTTTCCAGATCTGTTTCCATTCTTCTTTCCATTCCAATTTCTTGTCTGTCGCCCAAGCCTGCTTCTTCTCGGTTCTCCAAATCTTCTTCCAGACAGGTTTCCAGATTAATTTTTTCTTCCACAGATCATGGCTAGTGTATTGCCATCCCTCGTGATCCTTACCGACGTATTGTTCGCCAGGTATTCCTATCTTTACCCATTCGGGTACCCAAATTTTCTTCCAGTCTGGTACCTGGATTTCCTTCCATATAGGGACTTGAATTTCCTTCCAGATTGGCTTCCAAACTTTTTTCCAAGCTGGTACCTGTACCTCTTTCCAGATGGGAACCTGGATCTCTTTCCAGATGGGTTTTTGAACTTTCTTCCAGGCAGGAACCTTGATCTCTTTCCATGCTGGCACTTGAATCTCCTTCCAAACTGGTACCTGAATTTTCTTCCATACCTGTTTCCATGTCATTTTAGATTCCGTCTTCCATTCTTGCTTCCATTCGGCTTTCCATACTAATTTCTTCTTGTATTCACCGTGTGGCTCATGGTGAACAGGCGCGGGAGGACCATAGGAAGGAGCTGGGACTCCGTAAGATGGTGCAGGAGCACCATAGGAAGGTGCAGGAGCACCATAAACAGGTCCTAAGCCTCCAGAACCCCCACCAAAGCCCCCATCGAATGATCCTGATCCCCCAAAGGATCCGTGATCAGAGGTCGGAGCGCCATAACTAGGTGAAGGTGCTCCGTAGCTGGGAGCCGGAGGTCCATAACTGTCAGCAGGAGCTCCATAAGATCCCGAGGGCACTGGCGGGGGAGCTCCGTAAGAGTCCCCTAATCCTGCTCCCAAGTTTGCATCCGGTACACCATAAGAAGTTGCTGGAGGACCATACTGATCAGACGGGGCACCATACTGCGGACTCGGTGCTCTAAAAATCATAATTTCAAATTATACCAACCGGCCCCCGAGTTCCTCTAACCTAAAACTCTGTACTCACTCTTTCTTAGCTCTGATAGGATCCCCAAGCGCCGAAACGACAAACAAGCACCCTAGCAGTACCTAAAAAGGTCCGACATTAATACTCCCAGATATTCTTAAGGATCTGCACGAAGCTTCATGGAAAGGGCCTAAGTGAAAGTGAAGTTCAAGGTACAGTAAAACATAGGAAAGAGAAAAAAATAAAATCATCAGTCAGGAAGAGTCTGTACGCAAACCCGTTTCGCGTCTTGGCAATGACGTTTCTTTAACCATCACATACACGTGTTCCTTATCCTCATTTTTGGCGACCCACCGTATCGTCGCGTACACGAGTTTCGCTCGTCCCAACGACCGATACACAAGCGCGCATGGGCCTTTACGACCGCAAGAGCGAAAGTTCGACAAAGGCGAGCTCAGATAATTGCGTCTGTGAAAATGGGGTCAATTCCCCGTACTTTTTACGGTAACCTTACGAGCGTGGAATCTCGGAAGTATACAGTGATGATCAGCGATTCTTCCCTGTACCAAACTCAGTTGAAACCAGTGAAATCGCAATGTACCGTAATCATTGAACACGACCTCTCTCAACAGAGCGTTTCACTCTTGTTACGAGAATAATAATACCGGCACTTGACTCCAGCTACCCGACCGAAGTCAAGATCAAGGACTGAACTCGGTGCATAAAATTATCATTCATTTACCACTGGCAATAGACATTACACAATGACAGTTATCCGAGCTCCGTAAATTCCATAAGTAGATTTAGCGTCAATCAAACGATTTACTATTTCGCGTGGATAGGTACAGTCAATACTTATTTTGAGAGCAGTGACACTGATTGCATATATATTTTTGAATGACAAAAAAAAATTTTTGAAAAAACGAATTTTTTTTTCATAATAAATAATTTTCTAGTCTCATTCTTTATGGACCCGCGTCCGAGGTCAGTTTCCTCAAATTCTCACTAAAGGTTCAGACGTCGTATTTCTCTCTTTTAAACTTTTCTCCGCGCATCCTTTGACATTCCCACAGCACCAGCACTTTCACGTCACATAAAAATAAGGTTAGTCGGTAAATCAGCGAGCGAATAAACACTAACCAGGGTAAATCGCATTTTGGCTTTAATCTTTCACGGCAAAAACTGCCGTTTTTCCGGTTCGTCACTGTTCTGGCGAATTCCTCAAGATTTCCGTCGCTTTTATAGCGAGTCTTACCTCCTAGATGTTGCCCTGGGCATGGAGACATTTTGAGGAGGGATACCTTGTGATGACTATATGGGGGTCAGGCTGTTCTTCTAACAAGCGCCGTACCCTGTTACTATTCTGGTGGGGACACGAGTACCTCCAGGTTCAGTGTTAGGAGTTCGTATTTAATGCCCATCACTTCATTGGCATAAACACACCAGACCACAATAAACTTGCGCAATCAAAGAGATGCAATGGTGAGAGCTGGTTCCCTTGGTGAACGCGGCATGAGAATAAAATAATCCTTAAACCTTGAGTAAAATATTAATGGCCCCGTGGATGCTTTAAATTCAGCGAAAACACGCAAACTGTCTATGCATAAACCCTCAATCCCGTTTATAGCAACCGTAACGCTTTTGAATCAGCACAGAAATACAGTCAATCTATCGATCAGTGGACTGAAAACATTCTCTCTCTCGATTCCTGAATCGATATGACTTTCCGGAAGAAAAATCATCTACGTACAGCTGAAATACTGTTTTTTCCACTGTCACGTGTGTATACGGTGTCTCCGCACTTCCGTAAAACCATTAGTTCTCTCGTGTCGTACCGCAGGCGATGCAGGATCGAGACTTTCCTTCGATATAGTGTAAAAAAGAATCTCACTGTTGAGCCATAATCGCGAAAGTGCCTCAGGATGGCAGTGCCACAGCGAATTTCAAACATACGTATACGCGCATGCGCGAGAATACATGCTCAAAGTACTTACACGGTATTCCGCTCGAAAAATGTCTAAGGACATAACCTCAAATTCTCGACACGAAACGCGTCTAACGATTATAAAGCGGTCGTTAGATACCTGGTTGAAGAAATAGGAGATCAAAAACTCATATTGTATAGGAATGAACATGGAAAGTAAAAAAAGAAATTATAAAACCGAAAAGGAAAGTTTTTATTTTTGTAACACTTAACGATCTTAATTCGTCATGAATAATTTTTTATATAATTGCCATCACGTAAAACACCCGCATAATGTTATGCGCGTTCGATACTCACATATATAGACGTGCGTACAGAGAATCGAGAAGGCTAAGGAAATACATTTCCGTATGTTATTAATGTAAAAGCCTCTCTTTTCGCTATTCCCAAAGCGAGCCATCTCTACGTTATTCTACGGGAAACCTCGGCCGTTTCACACAATCATCTCGATTGACTCCTCCAATTGCTACGATGGGTATAGTACGTATATACGTCCATCGGATGCATACATGTTTACGTGAAGGATGCTACAGAGGAAGCGACAGCCAGTGAAAGTCGTTAAGCGTAAGCGCAATGACGGTACAGAATCCAAGAGAAAAAGTTTCACGTGAGTCGAAGGATTAATAGTTTTTTACATCGATACAAGCTATTACATGGTTTTTATACGATATGCCTAAGCGAATTGGACTGCCATATCAATTTATGTCCCCTTTGATTAAGGAAGCTTGAACGGTCTTTTATTTGCCATGTCAGGGATCCTAATTCGAATATTTACGAGTCTCCTGTTACGTAACCGGGCAATAGCGTAACGAAATTTGTACCGTGTAACGTATCATATGATAAAACAAGGAAGTAACGAAGAACTTTGTTTCACTCTCCATTACAGCTTAGCTGCGGGTCATTCTGCTGGCATATTGTGCAATCAATTGGCGAGCTGGCTGAACGCGGCAGTCGTACGGATTCCTGTACTTTTATGGCGGATTGCCCGCGATTACGCATTACGCATTAGCGAGGTTTCATCGACGGAAAGGCAGTGAAAACTCATAGGCCATCGCGGACGTCTGGCATCGGTACGAACTAGAAACCGACTGTTAGCATAGCCCTGTGTACAGGGTACAAGAAAATACACATGAAATTACCCAGCGTACGCCAGAAGTCCATTAGCCTTTTTTTTTCCTTAACAGCATTTAACTTCTGCAACGCGAAATAGCAGGCAGGCGTGACCGCGCAAACGCACGAATACGCAGATTTAACGAGACAGTCGCGCCGTTACCGTTTCCCATAGAAATAATCAAGGTTTCCTCTCTGGTCTTGCTAAAAGCTGCTTTTAGAAATCATCGAGATTCCTAGGCGATACGCGCTCTCGTCTCACGGTGAAAAGTGCAAATTACGCGCGTTATTAGGATTAGAAACTATCCTCATAGGGGACAATGGCATTAATGTAAGCACCTGGCGCACCCTGATTTCAGACTTTTTTTTTGGAATACTTTGTACGATCGACTATGCTTAAACTATCACTGATCTACGTGACGAGCAGGTCAAGCCAAATAGTATTACATGATACAAGCTAGACGGTTTAATGCCGATTGGTAAACCATGAACTATTTGGAAATAAAAGAAATGCATGCACCGTACTGTCAACCAGCCTTCGTGGTTACTATTGACTACGCATCGCGTGTCAACAATGTACCAGTAACATATCGACTTCCTGCTACGTTCAGAAACTGAAAACTAAATGAAAAAGAATAATCAATCACACACCGTCCAAGGCGACGATAGTAAATCCTTTCGTTCGAAATCATTACGAAAGAGAATTAAAGTTACGCAATATTCACTGTACGACGCTCGTCGTTTAATTTGACGAAAGCTTTCGGCAGCATTGCTCCGCCTACCAAAATAAGGCCTTGAGAAATTGCTTGAGAGCTGGTTACCAATAATTTCTTTTAATGACCCAAATCAAACCTGCCTGTTATCATCTTTCTTACGTAATTATACGTTAATTACACGTCAGCCTTTCTTCGGCCCTGAAAAACTTTTCACCTAGCACGAACAATCTTCGCGCCTCGATTTTTTTTGGTCAATGATAATAAACCGCTTTTGCTGTGATATCGTTTTTTTTTTTTTTTTTTTTTTTTTTTTTTTTTTTTTTTTTTTTTTTTTTTTTTTTTTTTTTTTTTTTTTTTTTTTTTTTTTTTCGTATCCTTATCCAGTCAGACAAATATTGATATTTTTTTTACTCTTATCCCGCGTGAAAGAATCTGATGATATTTCATATCCAATTGCGCAAACTTGTTCCTGTGTATTTTACGTATTCTTTACGTTTATCATTGCGTGTTTTTATCCAGTTGCTCGTTACGTATATGTACGAGAGATCCTATGGCTGCGACAACTGAATCTTAATGAAAAACATGTAACGCAAAACTAGATATGCATGTTGGGCAGCGGAGGTACACGTGTTCCTGTGGCAGGTGAAGGTATCGTTAGATCAGTTTACCATGGAGTCAACTGTCAGGACTCTGACGGATATGGATCTCGTTCTTAGCATAGAGAATTCGCCAATGATGATAGTGATGGCTTGTTTTTTCTTCTCTACCTTTATATTCGTCTCTCTCGGGACACCTTGTAGGGGTCAACATATCATGGTCCGACAAATGAATAGATATATGATGACGGTGCAGCTTTCTCTTTCAGGACTTCTGCTCATCTCGGATTTTTATATCTCTATAATTTAGCATTTACAGGCCAATAAGAGTGGGCGAAATTATTATAGATGTCAATTGGAATTTTGTCAACGTATTACTGATTAGCGTAGACCCAAGGTCTATACTGTTTTAAGGTCTTGACTGTCTTCGCTAAATCTACTAAAATGAAGGCGAAATTGTAATTTTAAAAATAACATTCGCGCTGGTTACAGCGCGACGATAAAATATATTTCCAAACTTTTTCTAATTGTTACTGTATAAAAGTAATTGCGTCAAGTCAATTTTATGTGACGTATTTATACCCGCGGGGAAGAGATTTCTCCAAAAGAGGTCGAACACCGTGTTACTTATTTATTAGTTTCATTTGCTTTCACAGAGGTATTTTCGTAATGGTAATTACTTGCCATAGACGTAAGAGCTATACCGGAGTTTATCAAGCTGGACCGTAATGGAATAAAAATAGTGAGTTATCGAAAAATGTATATATAAATATCGTGAGGATCGGTGAAAGGAGAAACAACAGTTTTTAATTACATCGTTAACATAATTTTTTTTAAGGTCAACAGTTTGCTGTATATCATGTTGAAGAAAAGGAGTACGACGACTATTCCTCTATTGACTTTCGTTCACGGAGTCGCGTGACCATTATAATGGCGAACTGGACCTTTGCTCCTTTTCCGGGTAAATCATAGGCGTGATCGGGTTCTTGAAAAATATTCTCATTCGATCGAATTACAAGCGTGTAACAAGTTATCGGAGAATCGATTCAATCTTATTCGTGACTAATAATTATATCAGTAAATTCTGTAAAATGTTTTTAGAGGATTTCAAGATAGAAAAGGTGAGAATTAAAGATCTTGATCCTCAAGGTGATCGATAATGTTGATTTCTATGAATTTTTGAAATCGACTTGAATCCAACAATTTTATCGGACGTGCAGGCTTAAACTGTCCCACGAAAAACATTTATCAGCAGGCTGCATATGCCTAATCAACGTGATTTTTAATTAAGTGGTTAATAAAAATATCAATATCATTAATATCATTATTGAGATCTATAAGACCAATCGTTACTCAGATTTCTTATACAGAGTATCGATCGTTGAGCTCGTTATCGTAGACCGACATAGTAATCTGCGTGCTATCTGTAATAAGATTTCATAACTTTTATAATTTTTTGTTTGGACAGTGTAATTTAAAAAAATGGATTGCAAATAATTTTCAAAAAAAAAAAATTATATTTCTAAAAAATTTATTTGTAACATGCTTTTCAAAAATAGGATCAAAAAATTATTTCGCTTGCTAAAATATTGTCGAGCTTTTACTGCATATTTGCTTCCATTATTTTAGTTACGTTAATTTAACCCTGTGAGTGGAAAACTCTTGAAATTTAAGCGCCTGCCAAGCACATTCTATGCATCCATAGCACTCAAAGGGTTATTAGCAAATTTAATGTATATTATCCACAAACCAGTGGTGTACAATCAGTCGATTGTCTTAAACTGGCACACTGTGTTATCTGTGCATAGATTACTGATAGTAGATACATATAACGGCTTATAAGAACGACGTAGAAGAATGTACTTCACATTAGCAAGCTGCACGCTTTTCAGTGAAGTTGCCTCTCGAACATGCGTGTTAAACTCGTGTTCTTTGCACTGTGTCTAGCGACCGGAGCTTTCGGTAAGTCAAGTGAATTCTTCACTGTTTTTCCTGATCTAAGCAGATATTGAAAAAAAAAAAAAAAAAAAAAAAAGAATTCGAAACGAATTGAATGATTATGTATTTTATAAATATTTTTTATGTTCGACAAGTGGTAGGCGTGTTCGATATAAAAATTTGGCTACTGGCCTATGGTATTGAGTTTATCTTTCTATTAACTTTCAAATTAATGTAACAATAGCTGGGAACTTTCTAAAGCTTGACAATGCGTGGGCCTTCTATCAAGATCTTTATGGATAACGTCAAAATTATAAATATTAGTATAATCGCATAGATTATACGGATATTGAATGTATAATTCATCAATTTCGATACGTCATTCGGAATCGAAGTATTCGCTAAATAATACTTTGACATTTGTATTGAGTACCCAGTTTCACTATGATAAGACGGTTAAAATTTTGTTTATCAACTGCAATAATTATTTATCAGCTTGATTAGTTGTATGTGTATAATAAATGGATGATCTGCACGATTTACAGTCTGTAGTTAATTTTTTTGCCTTTTCAATGAAAAATGACGTTCCTGAATTTTTCTAGGAAAAATTGGATTCGGTCCTGGTGAACAGGAATGGGGATACGTGACTGTCAGGCCAAATGCACACATGTTCTGGTGGCTGTATTACACGACTGCGAAAGTGAATATCTCTTATTATGAGAAGCCTTTGCTCATCTGGCTTCAAGGTGGACCAGGTGCATCCTCAACAGGATATGGCAACTTTGAGGAATTGGGACCGCTCGATCTCCATTTGAACTACAGAAATTACACTTGGGTAAGAATACGAATGTTTGATTTTATATAATTATTTTAAATTAATAAAATCAGGAAATATCGTTACACGATTGATACCTTTACAGGTAAAGGATTACAATATCCTCTTCATCGACAATCCAATCGGCGCTGGGTTCAGTTTCTCAACAACATTGTCAGGCTTTCCAAAAACAAATGCTCAGATCGCAGCTGACCTACTCGAATGCATTCGTAGTTTCTTACTTGAATTTCCAGACTTCGCATCAGTCCCAACATACATCACGGCTGAATCTTATGGCGGAAAGATGGCAGCTGAATTCGCTAACGTTTGGTACCAAGCCCAGAAAAATGGTAGCATAAAGAGTAATCTTAAAGGAGTCGCCATGGGAGATTCTTGGATTTCCCCAATAGATTCCGTGATGACCTGGGCCGATTATCTCTTGAATATGGTAAAGAAATAATATTCCCTATTATAAAATACATGCAAGTACCAACTTAGCATAAATAATCTTTTTCAGGGTATGGTTGACCAAAATGGTCATGACAAGATCCAAGCACGGGCGAACTTGACAAAGAAGGCTGTAGATAACGAAAAATGGTTTATAGCGACTAATCTTTGGAGCTTGACCGAATCGGCGATATATCGCGTGACAAATAATATCGACTTTTATAACATCCTCTACAAAAAACGTCCGAATGAGATATTGGAGGATCGTTCCGCGAAGGATAAGTTATTAAAAGGTGCTAATTGGGATTAGCTGGCTCTATGTTTGATCTATTCAACGTATTACCAAATAACCTTAACGCATTTCACTTTCTCTCAAAACTTCACAGTCGACTTTTCGACTGGTCTGGATGAAGATTCTGACGAGTTACTCGACGAGCTAATGAACGGTGCCGTTAAAAAAGCATTGGGCCTTCAAGTTGCCTGGGGGAGTCAGAGCTCAATGATTTTCGATCTTCTTCAAGTAGACTTTATGAAACCAGTTACCGACCAAGGTACATAGATATTTGTATAGCTTAATTTTAAGATAATGAGCAAAGAGTTAAGAGGTTGTCTTAATACGTCAATATAAATAATCCTTTTTTTCAGTCGAGTCCCTATTGAATAACACAGACCTGACAGTGCTAGTATTTACAGGGCAGCTCGATCTCATCGTTGATACTCCAGGTAATGACGACAGTGTCTTCATTAATTAGGAATATTTTTTTTAATTATCTTCACGTATGTATATATATATATTTTATTTAATGTCCACGGGACAGTACCCCTACGACCCCCAGAGATATAGATATTTACATAAAACCACCCAAACAACACATAATGTCCAAAAGTCGTCTAATGGCACAGAGGTTGCCTATAGGACAGCTTAAAGATGACTTTTGGATATGCGCGTGGGCATAAGAAAAGCAAGTAGAGAAAAAGTCAAAGAGCACAAAATTAAAGAATAGTCGGATACGAATTGAACACAGGCCGGGAAAAAGAAACAACGTGATAGGTAGTCACGGTCAGAGAATATCGAATATATCATCGTAGGCAGCCTAACAGTAGTCAAAGTGTGGCAAGAAGATGGCGTTCATGGACCGTCTATAGTGATCATGGCGGTGGTGAAAAGTGTCCATCCTTAGATACTTGAAAGATGAAAGAAAGGAGAGCCAAGCTGTACCTTCTGATCAATCGAGAGTTTCTTGGATGACTATAGCAAGGTAGTGAACGTAGTAAATGAGTTGGTCGGCCACGCAAATGGAAGGCAGCAGACTATGGTTCAGTCCACCAATACGTCGCGCACTAGCAAAGATTTACTTTCTGTTTGTTATCTATAGTCCGGCAGCGGTATCAGACTCCGATTTTGACAGATGGAATATAAAATTTTGTACATTATACCAGGTGCAGTTTAACTAAGGAAATGAATATCTCATCTTGCCAAAGATGAACAAAGATTCCACTGAACTTAAATTCAGTATACTTAAACTGATCAGGATAATGCTGAATGTTTGAGTTTCTTCGTTAAATAATTTTGGAATTTAACGTGGCGGGTCGATTGTCCCTTACGCATTTGAACTCACATTCGAAAATTCAAATAACGGATCTAATATGGCGGACTGAAATGCTAAAAAAAATAGGCCAACTTGCATGAAAAATTCGTGCTAAAATTTTGATTTTGAAAATTTTGACTTCAATTTCGTAATCGGCAACCCCAAAAACCCCGGAGTACCGACATTAATCTAAATCAATTAACTTTTTGCATTTTCGTCCGTCGTTTTGGATCAGCTTTTTTGAATTTTAAAATTGTGACATCAGATCCGAATTCAATGACTCTTGAAACCTTTTAATATCAATTTTCGCTTGAATCGGCTGTAAATTACTATATGTCTTTACATAGGAGTTGTCTACCGAGTACCCCCATGCTTCGAAGGGTTAATAACTTTGCATAATGCTATCTTGACACACATTCAGCCAATAGACGATTCTTCCAATATTTCTGTAGTGAACGTAACAAAAAATTTCTTGGCCATTTTCTATTGATACAACACTCGAAATTGCAATCTTCTTGGACTTAGGCACGCTTCTATGGGTGGAAAGACTCAAGTGGAGAAACGCGAGTGACTGGAAGTCTGCCTCGAGAGACCCATTGATTGTTGATAATGTCATCGAGGGTTACATCAAGCAGTACGGAAATTTGAAAATGTATTGGATCGACAGATCCGGACACATGGTAAAGATTTTCTCTTTAAAGTTGCTCCCTAACAATTATACTTATCGAATGCCTACACGAAAAAAATGCTTCATCAGGTACCGACGGACAATCCTGAAGCGACGGAGGCCATGTTAGCCGATTTAACGAGGAACGCTTGGGACTAGAAATACCAAATAAACTCTAAACCCTTGATCGCTGATACCAGACTGTACAAGACCACAGATCATACAGCGTTACCTTAAATTCACACGAAGAAAGCAATAGACTATGAAAGGTTCAACAAGTTAAATAAATATTTACCCGTCTTAAGAGAGAATTGTATACTTATGTATTACATTGGTATTACATATCGATATGAAGACGTTGCAAAAGGCTAAATTGCTTGAGTAAATATTTAATCGTCATAGGTGGGGAAGCTCTGCGGACGAAGAAGCCATAGGTTTCCTCTTACTAGGTCCGGATGTTCGCACACGAATTTCCTATCCCTTCTTCCTCCTCTCCCATTTTATAACTCTGTACGAGTTATGCCGTGTTATGACTTAACGTGGCAGACTTGACCAGTAAGTAAAACGAGTAAAATAAGTAATTACGACTGCTGCGAATATACAGCGCATAAACGTCACAGAGCCGACAATTGGTGGCTGGCTGGCAGGCGTCGGTGAATTTGTCAATAAAGAGAATTGTTTGAAGCCCCGTAGACGCGAGATCGTAAAGACACGACCCATTCGCAAACATTTGGCTTTGGGTAAGCAGATGCTGATTTATTCCACGCGATGCAATCGCATGAGACTTCATATTTCTCGAAGCATCTTCTTTGGCGATATACGGGATAAGGTCAGAGTATAAATTAGTACCAAAAAAAAAAAAAAAGACTAATAGCGAGAGAATGTTAAACTATTCGGCACTATCTCCGTCCCGGTGGCAATGTAGTATTTTCTCAGTGATGCACATACAAGCTTCGCCATCCTGTTCTCGGCTTCCCATGTTTTCCAAGTAGATCCCTGCATATTTTGATGGTCCCTGAATGTCGTCTAAATATATGAACTCTCGGCAAAGAGATAAAGGCGTCTAAGCTGAGTAGTACTACGTGGCACTCTAATCCAATGATTTCCTAGGGATTCCCATAGTCGTTGAATTATGTGAAGATTTGTTTTTTAATATTTCAGCGGTAGCTCAGGGCGTACCCTGAAGGCTGTATAGTAGGAGGACCGTTGCCACGGCCGAAGAATACACAAATAAGCCCGTTAGTCTCGTAGAACTTCTCACCCTCTGGATTCACGACGGCAACTGAAATGACACGTTCGTGTCGTCGGGGCTGCGTCAAGAAAGAGGCAACGTTCCTAGAAGCGCGGTTTGGTATAATTACCGCAACACTGTTTACATATTGGCTGGGTTACTGCCGGCGTGGGTGTTAGGACAGCATATGTGTAAACAGCAATAAAACATGTAGTGCGGTCGTAGTTGCTCTGGGATAGGTAACTCCCTCCGGCTCAAAAGCCGAACGGGAGTTCACTGGAAATCTGTGGGCGGGGCTGGTACCGTGTCTACCCCGTGTCAAATTAAACACCCTTCATTAGTGAATTGGTCCACGGCAAATCGGTTTCCCAGTTCTCTCTTATACGCCTTGGACAAGATACGCTTTTTCCATCCATTGAAATCTTCAGGAGTATAGGCGAATTATCTTCTTTTTATACTTGCTTCTATCCTTTGTTAATTGGTCCTGAGTGAAAATTCGAGGATGTTCGATTGTGAATCCAGATGAGTAATATATGTGTGATATAATACTGTGCCTTGGACGTAATACCTGAAAGAAAATAGTCTGGTTATCGTGATCGTTTACGATAGTATATTATTATTGTAAATGATTTTTTAATCAAGTAATAATTCTATGGTCGCTTGCCGATAGATTTAACTTACTGTATAGATTCTTATGATGGACGAAATTTTTCCAACGATGTGTCCACTCTCGAGTTATTATAATCTGAGCAGCTCAATGTTATTGGGAAGTCAAGCGTTACCTAATACAACATACTTATCTCATTTGACTTGGGCATTTCCATTACCAAGATTTAAACCAACCCCGCGCTACGAGAAGCCGCCTTATTCTTACATTGCACTGATAGCGATGGCGATAAATTCGTCGCCTAAGCAGAGACTAACGCTTTCTGGGATTTATCGATTTATAATGGAAAGATTTCCGTATTACCGTGAAAATCGTCAAGGCTGGCAAAACAGTATACGGCACAATCTTAGTCTGAATGACTGTTTCGTTAAAATTCCTCGGGACAAGGCGACACCCGGCGATGGTGAACATTCTGGCGGAAAGGGCAGTTACTGGACCCTGGATCCATCAGCCAGCGAGATGTTCGAACATGGGAACTATCGTAGGAGAAGAACGCGGAAACAACGTAACTACTCGCAAACAAAACAGCCACAACAATGCAGTCTGCCGGTAAGAAACTGCACGTAGTGTTCGTTATCCTAGTCATTCGAAGAGGAACGAATACCTTTTGCGCAGATTCCGTCGGAGTACTTGATGGCGAATGCAGCGTCCCGCAATCGGAGCCACAATGAATGTTCCACGAGGATCTTGGACACCAAGTGCAACGATACGTCCAGCGAAACAAGCCTTGTCGATCGACCAAAACACTGTGGGAAATCGAGTATGTTTACAATAGATAACATACTCAAGAAATCGCCGAGTATTGACAACAGCTAGTTCATGACAGCTTTTGTTGTATCCAAGTGTCACGAATCAGGTTATGGTAGGGAATCGTATACAAACCGATAAGATTGTTGTTGCTCCTCTTTTTCTGTTCTTCGTAGTGCCACAAATACGAGTGTCTTATTCTTCTGTTAGCTGCAGATTTGAAACTTGTATTTTTTTCCCTTCATTGTCCTAACGTGCAAAACAAGTTGCGAAGTGAAATTTCTGCTCGTAACGGCAGATAAAACAGCAATACGAGCGTGGCCTGTTTACTGTTTAGGGACTTTAACGACTCTAACACCAGCTTCGATCACACATGCCAGTGTTTGTTTCTTCAAAGGCGCAGTTCGAATGTTAAATTTCCAAACGGGAGTAGTTGAGCATCAACACGATTTTCTTAGAAATTCAATAAATCATGCGTCGCGTCTTGACTTGTCGAGTAACATGCAAACCGTCAGTTTGGCGCGGAAGGCGCGAATTTATGTTTTGGTTTGATGAGAAAGCAGGGTTTCGTATGAAATGAAAATTATTTTATTCTAAATTCTGTATTTTAACAAGTATTTTTTACGTATAACAATCGATATGCTGCGTAATACACAGAAACAATACTGTGGGACTAGTATTATAATGTATGTACAAATATATGAACGATAATCGCTCATGGATAGTTATTCACATTCTTTGTGCTTGTTACTAAAATATTCCTTTCATATACGTCCCCACAATTAATTTCACTGGGAATGTTCTGAAGACTTTGAAATCTTGCACAAGTTCCATGCGTTGTACTTAAAGTTGTAAAATTATATGACGGCGACAGTGCTTATATCATTTCGTAATTCTTCCATGGTGATATATATTACCGTGGAAGATATATATACATATACATACATACAGGTTGTCATTTATAGATAAGAATATATTTGAAATTGATCTATTGTAATTCCGTATATCACTGGAAAATGCTGACATGGATATTAATAAGTTTTTATCTTCTAGACTCGAAGATAATTTCTTCCTTTTTCAGGGTATACTATAAAGTTTGATAAAGATCGCAAATGAAACATATTAGCCAATAGATCGTCGAAGAATTTAATGTTGGACTGTCATTAACTTTTATGACCTAGGATTAAATTTCGGAGTATACCCTTGTGAAATGCTTTTACTTTCAAAAAGAAAGTATAATACTTTTAAGCGTTAGGATTCTTCTTCATCAATTCTAGATCGGCTTCCACCATGTCCTTTACGAGTTCCTGCAAGAATTCCCCATATAAATATTGCAAATTTAATAAAGAAAAATTAAGCGTACCTTGAAAGTGACTGTAGGCTCCCATCCGAACTTCTCTTTGGCTTTGGTGGAATCACCCAACAACAAATCCTAAATGCATTTAAATAATTAATGTCAAGAGTAAAGTATTGTACCTTAATAATATAAGTATCTCACCACTTCCGTTGGTCGAAAATATTTTGGATTGACTCGAACCAAAAGTTGACCAGATGAAGCATCAAGGCCAACTTCATTAACTCCTTCACCCTCCCATTTAATCGTTCGTCCAACGTGCTTGAATGCTTCCTCCACAAATTCCCTAACACTATGTGTTTCACCAGTAGCAATGACAAAATCTTCAGGAGTCGGTTGTTGGAGCATCAGCCACATTGCCTACATATAACCATACAAGTTTCAATACACGATATAAATGAGTGGAATGAAATATTAATATTATTTACCTTTATATAATCCTTCGCATGTCCCCAATCACGTTTAGAATCTAAATTGCCTAACTCTAGAACTTCTTGAAGGCCTAGATGTATCTTAGAAACTGATCTTGTGATCTTTCTCGTAACAAAATTTTCTCCTCTTCGTGGACTCTCATGATTAAATAATATTCCATTACAAGCATACATATTGTAAGCTTCTCTGTAGTTTATCACAATCCAGAATCCATACATTTTAGCACATGCTGAAATATTGTTGTGACATTATACAAATATAAAAATAAATGTTACTATAGTAAGATTATATACCATAAGGTGATCGTGGGTAAAATGGTGTTTTCTCCGTTTGTGGTACTTCGGCCACTTTGCCATAAAGCTCCGAAGTAGATGCTTGGTAAAACCGCACAGTTTTTTCTTGTCCACATGTTCGTATGGCATCTAACAATCTTAAAGTTCCAACTGCATCTACTTCTGCAGTGTACTCACTAAGTTCAAAGCTTACCTAATTAGGTAAAAGGAGTTACAACACAATGTCATAGATATATAACAAAATATCATACCTTCACATGGCTCTGTGCTGCAAGATTATAAATTTCAGTTGGTTGAACCAAACTAATAATTTTAACTAAACAACTAGAATCTGTCATATCTCCATAGTGTAATTTCATTTTGCCTTGACGGTGAGACTTAGGATCTGCATAAAGATGCTGGATACGTCCAGTATTAAAAGTACTAGCTCTTCTGATGATACCATGAACATCATACCCCTTCTCGAGAAGAAACTCTGCCAAATATGAACCATCCTGTAAATAAAAAACGAACTGCAAATTCACTACACATGGACAAATCAAATTAATTAAAACAGAACTATTAACAAACATCACTGCTTCATTGACCACACTCAAAAAACAATATTTCTTTTATTATCTACAATAAAATAGTCAAAGCAAACTCACCTGTCCGGTTATACCAGTTATAAGTGCAACATGCTTGACGTTACTTCCTGCCATTTCACTTTCTATTTAATAGAGTCCGGTGCTAAATATATGTAGGTAAACAAACGGTAAACGTGGCGCGTGTGTGATAATACTGCATACAATCAGGATATTACGAATCAAATACGTGGCAGAAAATGTCAGCTTGATAACATGACAGCGGATACAATAGGATATAACGCTCTGCGATAAAGAGGAAAAGCAATCACTAGTTTATACTTACATATTAAAATATACAACCCGATATAATAAGGGTACCAAAATAATGTTCAGTATCGTTATAAGGGTTAAATCACGATATAAATTACGAACTTTAAAGGTTTGAGTTAAAAGCCGGTGCAGTACAATATAACAATGCCACTTTAAAACCGCTAGCAAAGTTATAAATACTTGTGAGGTACATGATATCCAGTAATCGAGTAGAAATGGAATGTTTACACAAGCTGATATGAACGACCAATCAGAATAGGGAACTAACATGCAGCTTGAATTTTCGTTTTTTCTTATTTTAATCGATAAAATAATCATACCTAATACTATATATGCACCTATTTTATAATTAGGTATTTTATTTATTTAAAAAATTGATAATAAAAAAGGCAGAAAAGTGCGCGAAGGAAACTCTGCCTGTAATTTAATGTAACATCATGGACTGATAAGTTTGCGCTCGTGACGTTAGGGGCGCCGCTGCTGCTACAGTGTTGTTACAGCTGTCAGATTGAGAGGTTATGATACACAAGTAGGTTGAGTTATGGCAAGTCTAGATGCAAATTTTATGAAGGCTACGCTTCAAAATCTGCTGATTGTAGATTTTGATATGGTGCTAAAAAAAAGTTCTTTAACGAAACCCAGTGCTATAATTCAGTAGAAATGCGAGAAGTGAAAGTGGATAGATAAAGACGTTTGAATTATGTTGATGTTGCTATTGGTTACGTTACGTTCAGGTGTACCGGATTAAAAATTTATGTATAGTAAAACCAAAAGTATGCACTGAACAGAAGATCCATAAAAAATTATACAATGTAACGATGTATATAAATGAAGCAGAATAAGATAATGAGTGCAAAACAAATCATGACAAAGCCTATGTAACGTGGGAAGATTTTAGAAAACCATGTTATTTCTCTCATGAAGGAAGAGTACAATATTGACGTAAGACAGATAGGTTTCAGAATAGGATAGGACAGATAGGTAGATAGGAATTTGTGATAGAAATTAAATGCCCTTTTAAACAGAAGACCTTTTCCAATTTTGTTTAGGATGGTCAAATAGCTATTAAACATAAATGTCATTTACAGTTACAAATGTTACTTTCAAATAGAAAGCTAGGATTTTTCTGTGTTACACATGCTGATTTTGAAGAAAGCAATTCAGTAACTGTAATTAAACATGAATATAATGACAATTTTCTGATGCCCCTTATAAATGATATAATGACTCTTTGGATTTACATTCTTCCATACATCATACATTAAACCCTTTTGGAATTAATGTAGTGTAACGTCACAGAGCTTACTGTAATTTTATCTTCAACTTTGCCTATAAATAATGCAAGCCAAAGCTTTTGCTGAAACCCGATAATGGAAAAATTTGGAGCACTATGAGCCAGAATCATTCTGGAGGTACATTGGGTTCACTAATTTAATTCTTCCATATTTACCTGAAAAGTAACAGTAGGGATACAAAATATTTTAGTCATATAAGAAAATATAATTTATTTTGTCACTTCTTATATTTATTGTATCATGAGACGCTTTTTACAATTCTTTATTTACAAGTTAGAATATTAGGTGCAATTAATATTTATATAAAATAAATTATAATAGTTTGCATGTTTTTTAAGACTAAGGCATAATGTACCGTACATGGTAAAAAAATTGAATTATTAATAATATATTTTAAGATCGTATTCCTTCCTTCCTTTTCTTTTTTAGCTCCCTTCTTATAGAGCAAATGTGTCACACTAAAATGCAATTACCTAACTCGTAATCGCGATAGCTCACTGTTGACGTATAATCTTTTCGTGGCGAATGTTTACCAATATACACATATAGGATCTTTTATTAATCACCGAAACAGTCCCTACGCAACGACACCTTACCGGCTACGTCACTACTTCGTGAGTCAAACCAATGTTACAATTTAAACATGCTTAGAAAACCATCACTTTTAACGAGGTTTTAAAAATTACAGATTGAGTTACATGAACTTTCCTTCTATATTTACTTAGAAATCAATGTTAAACTTTAAAAAGAAAATTAAATTAAATGTCATGCCAGTTCTCGTTAATTATTCATCTTCAACGAAAAGTAGAAGGTTATCCCTAGAGTGTAAAAAAATATTTTACTATTGAAAACGATGGATTTAAAGAAATATTATATTGCTCTGGAGCATTAAAGAGAAAGCATCGTCGTAGCTTTTGTTCCTCGAAGAAACAGCCATTGATGGATAAGTTGCGGAACGCCGTATGCAAGACAGAAAACTGATAGTCTTTCTCAGTCTTTCTTGTCTTTCTCGTCTTTCTAGCAAAACGGGCCGTAGATCCGTAGATATTCCGTACCACGTGACCAAGAATCATCCAATGAATAGACGCCGACGGCCCTATACGTGGCACGAAGCATGAATCCTTTCCACGTCCGCCATTTTGACATACGGTACTTTTCGGGAGTGTTGGTTTTATGTTTTACTGTTTCTCGTGAAAATAATCTTTTTTACTGAAACGTAAGTAGTCATAGATATTGCAATCGGGGCTGGTGATGTCGATAAACGTGACAGAGAGGAGGAAGACGTGAGATTCGTTGAGAATTCCCTGGGAACTAGCATTAGGAATACCGAGGGGAGTAGGTCGAAGGTGACAGACAACCGGGTGTAACAGTGTCTCCGTAAGCGGCATCGAATTCTTGGCTATTTTGCGTCTTCAGTACTCGTACGTTTCTACAATTATTCTTTTTCGTTTCAATAAGGGAATTTATCATATCCTTGATATTTTTTATACCTGCCAGAGACGCTCTTACTTTGCTAAGACACGCAATCGATACCGACAGCGTGGGCATCTCGTGTCTCGTGTCAGCATATTAGGGATTTTCATGATTTTACTCATTCTTTTGGCTTTGTGTTTTAATATTCTTCAGATATCGGAGTTAACTAGGGTTGTTGGGTTTTGTTGTGTTAACGTATTACTCCCTATTAGAGAGAAGCCTCATATATTTTCCGTAGTACTTTCATTGTGCTCTATTCGGGAATCTCCAGTTGGTTTGGATTTTTTCGTTGTGCTGTGGACTTATAATACGTTGACAAGGGTATCGCCAGGGTAACGCTTATTTTTTTTTTCCTTTGCAGGTACCTACATAACCAACACCGACCATGGGGAACATGTTCGCAACGTTATTCAAAGGCCTCTTTGGCAAGAAGGAGATGAGGATCCTGATGGTTGGTCTGGATGCCGCCGGAAAAACCACAATTCTGTACAAATTAAAGTTAGGCGAGATCGTTACGACGATTCCCACTATAGGTGTGTATAAGATTCCATTGCGTAGAATAATTGAAAAATATTTATATTTGTGGAAATATGTTCATAATAATTTGAATACTCGTAAGCTGTTACAATTTCTTTTTTTATACCACATGATTTCTTCACTTCATGCCAATTATTGATAACATGCTAACGAGGAATGAGCTAACTGGCTGTTATGGAATGACTAGTGAAAGTATATACCAGTATTGCTTTTCAGGATTTAATTATATTGTATTATTTACTGGTTACCTATTTGGATTTTTGTGTGTAGAGTCAATGCTTGTAGAACGCTCATGTGTTTTTATCAATCAATTAAAATTCAACTTCTCATTCCCTTGTTCTTATCTCACTTTCAGGCTTCAATGTAGAGACAGTCGAGTATAAAAATATTAGTTTTACGGTGTGGGACGTGGGTGGTCAAGACAAAATCAGGCCACTATGGCGACATTACTTCCAGAACACACAGGTACGTTCCATTCCTATTGATACAAGAATTCAATTTTTGCTTGTCACGTCAATATATATAATTTATTTTTTGCCAACAGGGACTGATATTCGTCGTAGACAGTAACGACAGGGAACGTATTGGCGAGGCACGCGAGGAGCTTATGCGGATGTTAGCAGAAGACGAGCTCAGGGATGCCGTACTACTTATATTCGCTAACAAACAGGTAAATCAGCTTAACCAATCAATATAGCCACAGTTCACATAGACCACGTCTCACACAACAAGTCTAACCAAATACGTATTCTCATCCAGGACCTACCTAATGCGATGAATGCAGCAGAGATCACTGACAAGCTAGGGTTACACTCACTGCGTAATCGTAACTGGTATATCCAAGCGACGTGCGCCACGAGTGGTGACGGCCTCTACGAGGGCCTCGACTGGCTCTCCAACCAGCTCAAAAATGCCAACCGCTAATCGTCGCATCGCGCCGTCAACATTCAGTTGCTATAATTAACATCGTAAAGAAGGAAAATAACAACAAGATCCAACCAGTCGAGCCGCGCACCCGTTTCCCCACGAACGAAAGAACGTACAACACGCAACCGCAACAACAACAACAAAACTACACCAACATAAAACGAAAAGACATGCGAGCTGGCCGAGGACTCGATACTATCCTTAAAGGGTCGTCCGGAGATGAGAGAGACTTGGAGATAGAACAGCGAAATCAATTGACCAGGAAGAAGGCGTTACCGAGCCGGCTCGTAGATGGGATTCAGCGCAGAGAAAAATTTCAGAGAGAAAGAGCAAGGAAAGAAGAGGACGAGGAAGAAGTGAAGGAACTACTAGAGAATAAGATCAATCGACAGGAGAATAGGGGAAAAAGGAAGTTAGGTTAGTTTTGGGGGATATGGGTGGGTCGGTGATCGTTAAGAATAATTTTCTACGATCGCCCGGGACTCTTGCCTCGTGCAACCACCACCACCAACAACAACAATGATTAATTATATTATTATTAATTAATTATATTATTATATTAATTATTATTAGCATTATAGTTACACCTTTTTACACAGAGAAACGATACCCACGCAAGAGCCGGAGATTCTCGTTACAAGCTATTTCACGCGAAACCGTTAATTAAAAATGAAAGAAAGAAAAAACAATATTTACGGAAGTTATTGCAGAGAGATGCACGTTAAATTGACGCGTGCGCAATCACGGCCCACGTTCACACTGCCTCGGTTCAGTGAATTCCTCAAGTGACCGCTGTTATTCGCGTTCGTGAATCACGTTAACCTAACATAACCTAATCCAGCCTCTATACCCATTGGTTACGATCTCCATTATCTTCATCCTACGAGTTGGTCACCCCGGGGAGTTACAGATGATCCTGAGCTAAAGGAACTCAGGCCCTCCGGTTCCTTCCAATCACGATCGTTAACCTCTCAGGACGACTGGCTTTCGCGAAGGTTCGTCTCAAAGCGAAGCAAGCGGCCGGCGGGGATGCTGTCCGTACGATCTCTATCACCCGGGCGACACTCTCCCGTTTGCCGAGGTACACCGGCCGGACATACGACACTGACACCTTTCGCTCTCGTAAATCGACATTCCGAGGAACCTCCGACACGTTGTGGGAAATTTAGCGAGAGCGCGACGGACCGCGGGCTACGATAAATCGGTTGCAGTTATACAGACAGTAAGGATCGAGACATTACAAAGAAAAAGAAGGGAAAGACTAAAGAAAAGCATAATGATAAAGATTATTCCAGAGGACGATGAAATTTACGATGTTAAATAAAAAAAAAATTGGAAAAAGAGGAAAAATTAAGAATATTATCATAACAATAATGTAAGACCGGTCGCGAGGAGCTCATCAGACGTTTCGCACCGGCCGCCGAAGGGATTCGTCTTCCTCTTCCTGGAGATGAGGTTCCTGCACAAGTAATTCTCTTTCTCTGTTACATAGACATTGTCCCTTTCCTTCGCTCATCTTTCTCTCTCTCTCTCTCTCTCTCTCTCTCTCTCTCTCATTCTCTAATCGGCCCGATGGAAACTCGCCTTTTCCTCTCTTTCCGTCGTAACGCGAGGACTCCGTATAATTATGTATGAATGTTTAACGATTTGTGAAATATACTGTAATTGTGCTTTACGACGTTTATTATGAGTGTTCTTTGGTGTTCGACGATATGTAAGACGCTCGTCGACCGGCGTTTCTCGTTCTCGTCGTCGCCGTCGCTGATTAAGACGCTGATCCGCGTAATTCCTATTTCACCATCGTGATTTATTCCTCAGCTATCCTTTAAAGTAAATATATATATAAACACACACATATATATATATATATATTACAATAAATTATAAACTGAAAAATTATGTACGACGACGGCCCTCGACTTGCTTCGTTCGCGTCTGGTGAAATTGTGCTCGACTTCCTCGTTTCCCAAAGGCAGCGTGCGAATTTTAGTCCTAGTTGCGTGTGGCGGATTTTTGTTGTCAGTGCTGACTACTTACTTGTAAGGCTAAGTTTAGAAATTATATCGATTTTAAAAGGAATCTATAATCTTATACATCGAAGTCATTCTTATGACTTTTATTTTTATTTGTCCTACTTGACGTAGTGCTGCCTTTTGCGCGGGAGTGCTTACGTTGTGTCTGATCTGCTTTTTATTTTTTGTATCTTATGAAAAGCTTATGAAAAAAAAAGGGTTTCTTTTTTTTTTTTACGGTAGACTAGAAAGATTTTTGACACTACGCAATCTCAAGAACATTTGTTTATAATTGGAATGACGAATTATGTTGCTCGTGGTTATTTCTTCGTCTCGTAAAGTTTGTTGTCTACGTTATCCTCGCTTCTCTCTGGATACAGTCCAAATTCCTGGGACAGGGAAAGCCTTGATTTCCCTTCATAGTACAATAGCATTGCTGCTCTTGGGTGCTTTGATTATTTAACGTGACGCTCTCAAGGTTCTCACTCTGTCAGTGTCCAGTGATCGTTCAGGTCTCTTGACTTTATGTGTTTCATCTCTAAAATAGTCCCGTGAAAAATGCGCGACTGGATACTGGCCGTTAATACTTGGCAGAACGCTATTTCAAAAGCTGATCACTCACTAATAGAGAATAAAGAGTAAACAAGAGAGAGAGAGAGAGAGAATAAAAAGAACGCTTCCTCTCCCGAAAAGATACAGACACCAAATCTAGGACAGATAGATATTTATTACGTACTCTGTACATTCGTCATGGTACATCCTTGCACTTTTCATCTGGCGACTATTGTTAACCTTTTGCAAGATCACGTAAGATATCTACAATCTCTGATTCCGTTCGGGTAAAAGGCCATTGCTACTAACTTTCCCATGATTGTAAGCGTCACGCACCCACGCTTGCTCTTAAGTGTAGAAGATATATAATTATTGTTGAAATTTTTTTTCTGTTTCTCATACATTCCAACTGTACGTACGTCGCCGAGTGTGTTTGTACTTTTCAACTGACATAAAGAGACCATTCAAAACTGTTAGGATCAGCTGGCACGTTCCCTTTGGAAACATTGTACAAGGCAGTTGGTCCACGTCCTTTCCAATTCACCTTGTTACCTACAAATAATTCATTTAAAAAGGACACCAATTTTCAAGCATGCTTTGTCGTGTTTTCCCTTAATACGAGTTGAAAGGAATCCTGGAACTTTGGTGCCTACCTATAAATATGCTCACCAGGTATCTAACCAGTGTATGTATTTAACAGTGGAAGCCCAGGAGGTACGTACCCAGTGGATAGATTGTTAAGGAACAGGTGTTCGGCAATTGCTTCCTATGGCTTTTCATCGCCAAGAAGAATGGCCGTTTTTCCTCGAATAATTCATTCAATGTTATTATTTGATCGGCAGCACATGCTTGCGAATCTGAAAGAGAGGGAGAAAAGCAACAGTGAAAAAAGTACGCAGACAGGCAGCCATGCTTGAGGAACCGTAAGAGGCGATATGTCAATTACTCAGTATTCTGCGTGGTGTTAATTAATAAGATGTATCGCATTATGGCGACGACCAACACCTAAGCAACAGAGTCAACACGCCTTTCCTCCTTTTCCTTGTCGTCCGTCGGCTCATTCCCTCTTTCTCTCTCTCTCTCTCGCGACTCTCGAACATCTCCGCGACTCTCGACTCACAAGGAGCCAGTTTCCTCGCGTATTTTTAGAATAACTAACAACCTGGAACGAACTATCGAGTATCGACTGTCAGTGCTGTTGCCGTTTATGATAGATATGTTTTGTGAATGGCGCCAGCAGGATCCTCGTATAACAAGAACCCGTGGTCTCTGTCGTAACGCGAAGGATCGTCGACTTGACCCTCATTCATCGGTATCTACTGGCAACGGCTCTTTTCTTGGCCATTTTTCATAGTCTCTTACTACTTTTTTTCTTTACCTCCTATGTTCGTTTTTCTTACGTCTCCCTCCAGTTATAACCTCCAAACGTCATCTCCCGTAGGCTGTACTTTATCGCACCTCTTATCCGTAGCACTCGAATAACTGTGGAAAAACGACCTCGTGAATTTGCTTTTCGTAATTGCGATCTGACCGCGACTACTGCTTGCATGATTTTTAGTTCAATATATATAACATCTGTCCGTAGAACGACAGACGTTTCCAGGACACAATAGATTAACACGATTACTTCATACGTTCGCGGTGACACGTTTCATCTATGTTTTTAGACTTTTCGGCTGATCATGATGCGACTCGTTTCTATTCTCTTGAATTATGTAAAGATAATAACCGTACCGACGCGAGGACGCGTCATCCTATTATGTCTGTACGTTATTCGTTTATGCCGCAAATATCCGGAGGATCGTTTCGCGAACTGGATGGGACACTCCGATTGGTTAACCACAGAGGTTAATGGCGATGCATAAAAATGTTTAAAGAGCGCCGCGGCGGCGTGACGTCAAGTTTCTTGCACGCTTCTTGACTTTCTAGCGTGGGCGAGACGCCGAACTTTTAAATGAATTAATTTTGACATTAGGAGTCAATTCCGTTAGCTCAGTTAACGTACTTGATACGTGATACGTTTATCAGAAGGTAAACCAGACGGAGTTGTTCGATATTTCTCTTTTTCTTTCGTATTGTCATACTGGCACTATTTTTGGATAATTAATCTTGTTAGCGTAACGCGGTAAGAAGATGAGAGGTGGGACGGCCGATATAATGGCAAATCTATCTTAAGAAACTGGTGACTGGACACTTATTAATTCTTCGACGCTCGGGATATTGACATTGTTTATTGGCGGCTACGGATCTTGCGTCATGACTGCAGATGTTACTCGAATATAAATACGACAGGACGGTATTATAATATGGATGTCTGTGTTTTTTTCGGATTATCGCTTGACTCCCCCCTTCACTCTTTCTTCGTCTTCTTGAATTGCTCTCGGCGCCTGTTCTCCTGTCTCGACGGTATTTCTATTGCCGACGCGTTCCAATGGTCGGCGGCAAGCAGGACGGACAATGCGATTTTTGAGAGACCGGACGATAATATTATTCTTCTATTTCGGGAGGTACGACGCGGACAATGGGAATTTCGCGTGAAAGACGACCGACGGGACCGGTAATGGCGTGCGCACGTAGACGGCGCCAACATTCTTGCTCTTTTGCGCCCTTTATGCCATGCGAGACTACACTGAAATTCCGAGACTAGTCGCTATTGAAATTGCTACCACGGTCGCGAGGAGGATTTCTCTTGTGAATTTGCATGCGCCTCTGAAAGGCTGTATAATGTAGTACAGTCCGTTCTATGCTTACTTGGCAAATCCGTTGAGATTCGGCGGCATAGTAACGTAACAGAAGCGTCGTCAGCTAATCAGAGCGCTCCGTGCTCGTGGCAATTTTTGGTACTAAAATTTCAAAATGCTTTCGTAGGTCGGCCGTCGCACGAACTGTGAACTCATAAAGACGAACGGGATTCGCTTTGCCAGCGGGCGACGGCAAGTCATCGAATCACATTATAATGATAAAGGAATCAAATTGATTTAGACTTTTTGTTTGTCCTTTTGGGTCTGATTAGAGTTCATTGTGAAGCGTGCTTTAAGTGCTCGCGTGTCATTGTTGGTGATGTGCGAGGACGGTTAGGTTAGGTTGGGTTCGGTAACGAGCCGTAGGCTGGATAATAGCGACGTATAATGTAAGCGAGCGTCGGCGCCGGCGCCTGCATACATATGTTTGGTCTCGCCGCCAGTGTATTTATAGTATTATTATAGTGTGTTTACGCGACATGACACAGATTCTCATACGCGGCACTCTCGACCCGTTGCGAGAGCCGTGAATACGCGAGGACGAGGTGCAAGACGGGAATCCTAGATTTTTCCTCTAGGGTGGTACAGCCATTGGTAAGAATGATTTTCACTAGCGAATCATAACTGCTCAGGGACGTCTTCTTCGGGATACGCGAATATTCTTACTGAATCTATTTACGTTGTGCTGGACGACCGTTTTCACGCCAATCCTGTTCAACACTCGGGGTATCGCTGGGAACGAATTCCGATACGTCTATCTTATTCCTTGTACTTTTCGGATTTTAGTCTGGACAGGCAGCCATGTTACCTTCGGTGGGATTCGATGCGCACATTTTAGAACGCCACGTGAATTTCGATGCTTTTGAAGTCTGAGTTACGATCGACTGGACTAGGCGCCTGTGATGATGGCCAATAAAATATTTTAAGGCCAATTGTCATACCGCTACTTAATGATTAGTATGGAACACAGGTGATGTATGAGGATGCTTTGTGGTAGTGATGGAAGTCATCTTCTTGGAACGATGAGATTATTCAAAGGATACAAAGATAAGATCTACCGGGATGGAAATTTTATTCACTGACATAATGGCATGAAACGTGATTCGTTGGATGATTTATAAAAATAGATGATCGGTTACAGGGACTAGTTCCAGGAAGCTGTCCAGGAAGTGGAGCATGGCGTCGATGGCTTTCGTCGACACGTCAGTTGGAAAAGTCTGACCCTTCTTCACCAAAATCTCAAATCAATCGTCGCGTTTGGAAAATTGGCCGGTTTCCAAGGAGTCGACGGAAGATGATTGCAAATTTGGATCTTAGGTGACCCCTTAGACGACGTCCTCTCGTCTCCCCACTTGCGCAACGTCTACGGATACATAGCGATTTTTCAGGCGGATTCACAAGTCGAGTGACGACTCGACTGCTGATGTTGCTCCTTCCTATGGCCTTACGTTACTTTTGTTTTAGAATTACAGTCTGGAAAGTACCTATGGAAAAGATTTTCAAAGACACCATCATCCAGCTGGTATCAACCAGTTCCTTTTGATTTACTATAAGTCTCGTTTAACAGGGACAATTGGTCATCACCCTCGTTACTTTCCGGGCAAGAAAGTTTCCCAGTAGATACCTGGTGTACTGTTGTACTATGCAGTTACAGGTACAACCTGCTTGTACGGTATCGTAAACTGCTTTATTGTACAGGATTTCCATGCTCGGTCACGTAGAGACGTCGAGTCTTCCTGGACTGACCCATGAGGATGATACTGAGGACGGGGGGTTCTGGAGGAGCTAGAAAATAGAGGACAGAAGTAGAAGGTTAGTTCGTGTGCTTCCAAAGGATCGGCGGATTATCGTCGGTTCACTTTTATTTACGATGCTTCTCTTCCACGAAGTCCGAATTAATGACGGCTTGAGGAGTTTTGTCGCCATTTTTTTTCTTTTCAGTTTGTCTTACCTCCCGTAGCTATCCCATCATCTACGTATGGATATGCGCTTCCTATCCCTACACGTGATACGTGTGTCCGACGCTGAGATTTCTTCGGGGAAGGTGCGTCTCGCGGATTAGCGGATAATTAATCCCGTCTCGCGCGGTGCCAGACGAGAATCTTTTGTGTGAAATCATTTCGTTTCATTCCGTTCCATTCTGTTCCGGAGCGAGCGCCGGTAGGCGCGGACAATGCAGGGCCGGTGAGCACGCATTCCATTCTCCGTAGGTGACAAAGGCCGCATTCCCGACGGACAAAGCAGGGCCGGAGAGCGTTCATTGTGTGGCGGTATCCTCCGAGTTTATTCGTCCGTTCTCATCCAGCAAAGAAGACGCCGCATCCCCGTAGCGTCACATCCGCTCCTCAATGGACCAGGAGGTCGTTTCTCTTATTGCGGTACGAGAATCTATTAGATTTGTCATCTGATTATGAATAGTCCTTTGGACCATTATCTTTTTCCTTTTTCCCCTTACCTTCAGCCACCATCGTCCTTAGACATCCTGGACCTTCGACGTCATCCCCGACGACACCCATCGGATCGTTTACTTCCTTCAGAATTCAGATGGGAAAGCACCAGTTCCGGAAACCGACGAGCTCCATTCCTTGTAGATGATTAATGTCGATTAGCATTTCAAGAACGTTGTATAGCCTCCACAGGAGAATTGGCAAGTGTTCCGGAGTTTACCTGGATCATGAAAAATCACAAGGTAAAGAGAGCTTTTGTATCGAGCGAAAGAATGACTGTGGCTGTAGGCGCCTACCGTAATCCGTTTTTACGTTCACAAGGACCCTGGACGATTATGGAAGCCGGACTTCTCGAGGACGATCATGTTATTGAGGATTAGGTAAACCGTGGCATCCGGCCCGATGCAGGAGCGAAGAATGCAGCGGCAGGTATCTACCGTAGGGGGAATCTGCAAAAGTCGATCCTTTCTCTTTCTCCATTCTTCTCTTTTCATTCTTCCTCTGCCATCTTTCGTTCTCCGTCGCATCTACGAAAACGACGGCGGCGGCGACTCGCAAGCAAAAAGGTTTTATATCCGCCATGGTGAGAAGACCCTGGTCACGGAGACGTTCAAGAATTCGCTTGCTACACGAGAACTCAGCATTGGATCCGTCGCGGATCGAACGGCGGGACGATGGTGCAATCCTGAGACTACATGCGTTCTGCTCGGCTTTCAAACAGGCCCCCGACTGGCCCTTTACTCACCTCACCGTGCCATCGGCATTGGTATTCAGTTCTATCCCCTGCATTTGCATCCGACGCATGTACGCATTTAACAACTACGTCATTTCGAGCTGGTGTGAATCGAACAGCCACTTACCAGCGGTTCACGTTCATTGATAAATATCCTGAGAGCACCGCGAACCAGTACTCAGGATTCTACATACGTTCCGTAGGCTCTCAAGAAGCAAGGGAACATGGTGCCGATGCGCTACGTGGACTCGTAGCCGACATACGAGCTGAGAATCCTAACCTATAAAGAGTAAAGGTATAGGACTAATTCGATTATGCGGCCGCAGGGAAAGGAGAAGTCTCTTGGTGTCAGGGTAGCAACTCGAGAAGCAGCCCGAGGGTTGGAGGTAAATGTTAAATCCAGGCGACATAGTCCCATTGGTCGGACGCGAGTCAGGAACGTGATCGTGAAGAATGGCCGGGTGAAAAAAGCCGTAAGAAGCCGGGTTTGAGCAGGGTGTGAGCCGCCCGGGTCGAGTTGCTCTTTTATTACCGTTGTATATACCGCTGTCCCGACTCTTGTCGGAGTATGCCTCGTATTGGGCCCCTTCGGACCCCGAGGTCTGCTGGCTTCGCTTCTTCTAGTCCAGAGTGGGGGCACCCACACGCGCCAACCACACCTTCCGAGAGACTCAGAGAGACAGGCACAGTCATTCGCGACACCCACCGTGAACCAGGTATCACGCGAGACGACACGAGTTTTACCTTTGGTCTTTGCTTTATTCTTTTTTACTCTCCTTCTTGCTCGCTGCATATCCCCAGTACTCTGACCTTTTCTTATCGAGTTTAACGCTTCGTACTTCTTTTAGGTTATCTGGGAATTTTACATTGCGAAGACTGTTAGGTACGCCCTGAACGCCAGAGACCGTCCTGTCTCGTTCTATGAGGAAAATGCGTGCACGAGTCTAGCGCGAACTTTTCTGCTTCGCTGTTATCTCTTGTCAGCATTACCGAGGCGATCACAGCCGATCTTTCCCGATCGCTCACCGGTCGCGACACGAGCACCACTCAGTCGTGTCTCGTGTGTCGTGCGGAGGTGATCGTCTGCATTTCAGTCCGATCAATAAAAGTAACTTAGACTCCTTTATCGGTTTGCCAGACGTTTCACAGCTGCCTGCCACTGGTGCTAGTCGTTTATAATGTTTTGTAACATTCCCAAAGACCTGGACAGCATGGTGCCTCTCCAGGGAACTGTATGGAACTTATCATCCAGACGACGATGCTCGTGAACGACCATCTTCGTCAGCCACCTACAGCAGTCAATTTCACCACTTCGTTTTCCTTCTTTTCATTCTGTGCTTCACTTGATCTCCTCCGTGGGCACCTCCGCCCCCACCTTGTACCCGCAGACTCCCTTCTCTCACCTCGTCCTCCTCCTCCTCCGCCTCCTGGTGCCGTCATTCTGCCGGGGCGGCGAGCGCACAAACAGCGCAGCCAGCCAAACAGCCGCGGCAGTCACGCGTCGACCGTGTCAGAGCTTACATCGTTACTCGAGCTTCCCTTCGCAAGAGTGTCTTACTTATTTCTACTGCTCTTGGAGTCGCAGTCACTCCTCCTCGATACCTACTTTATACCTCTGGCCATACTGGCAGCCTTCACTCTAGATTCGCTGTCATCCTCAGTCAAGAGTAACAAGACGATTCTCGCGAGCACGCGAATGGCATTTACTTGACGTTATTATCGTGCGCGGAGACCGAGTGCAGTGCCAAGGTGTGCAGTGAGAGTACTTAGACAAGACTGCGACACAGAGACGACACGGGCGGGCCTAACCGTCGTCTGCTGGACGACCGACGCCTTTTATTTTCATTCTTCGCTGCATCTGAATACACATCCTGAGCATCGTATACGTGAACTGAGAACTGTGTGCACGATGTTATCGCAACGAGGGATCATCACCCTCGGTTTGCCGATTTTTCTTGCCTTACTATGTTATCCCTTACCGGCAAGAACACGTCGCGTCGCACCCCTCATCGAGGACGACTGGGCACGACGACCACATCGAGCGGCCGGTAAGTTTTTACATAAATTTTGTCGATTAAACGGTACAGTTTCTGATAGATAAATGAGAGTTATCACGAGGTTCCTTTTGAAAGCCAGCAGCAGCGGCGCACATCTGAAATATCGAATCGGTATCTCGGAATTGGTATCGCACGCTCCTATCAAGCTGCAGGCGTTTTTGAATAATCCCGCGAAAATTCACTGATACCACGGATTAAGAATGGCGCGATAAGAAAATAAGAGAAAATTCATCGCCCTGTTACGGATATCTCTGAATACGTGCATTCGCGACGATGCCGGTGCTCTGATGGCTTCTACTTACGTTTCAAGAGAGACTCGCCCTTATGTAACCGACGTCAACGGCTCACTCGTAGGAATTTCTCGTCAGTATCACCCGGTATCCATTACCCATAGTGCCTCTGGTTAGTCTATGCATTCCGCTTTCCCAACGTGTTTTCATCGTAGATTTCCACGGGAACGCGTCAACCTAACCTAACCTGTCGATGCAACGACACCTGTTTTCGTGCGTTATCACGCCACTCCTCAAGGACGTTCCCGTGTATACCACACTCACGCGTACAGTGACAGCAGCAGACTTCGTGGTCGAACGCCGAGCAGCCATGAACGAACTAGTGCCCGATACAACAAGCCCGATGTCTCTCGTAAACGATCACGAACTCATACGATCCCCGCGCACGTTCCCTGACGACGATCGATCATCAGGATCACCGTACACTGATAGCAGAGCGCCATGGTGACAAGGAGGGTTTCGACAACTCGTCAAGATTAACACCCGAAACGATCGTTATCGACTGCTCCCACGATTACACCTTAAGTCCCAAAATCCATAAAGTAGGGTGACTCCAGTGTATGAAAAGATTCCGACAGATGTCAATGCACACTGATTTTAACACGAATATCCGTTCCCTGCAGTCGTTTCTTAAGGTATTCATTTACTTAACCTTATTTTACCATAGCTTTACTCGACACAAGGTACCAATGCGATTACGGCTCGAGCCTATCCCCCTTGTATACACCGCATTCATCCCTAACCTCAAACCATACTGAAATCTACACGACACAGGAAGCCGACGTCTATTATGCGTATCTAGGCACTAAAAACAGGTATCAATGAACGAGTTCTTAGCGATGGCGACCCGTGAAATTTCTTACGTGCACGAAACCCACGCGAGTCAATCAGTCTCCACGTTCCGTCACCGTGTCCCATGAGGACGCCGCGCGCACAGGCAGAACTGCTCGTCGAAGCGGCCTACCCGAAAGCACGTGGTACCCGACGAGTGCCAGTTACCTCCACCGTACGGATAGGTAAACGCACCCGCGTACGTACATCCCAGGAAGGTCGTAGCCGTTGGTATTACCCGTTAGCGCCGGCAGTACTGATAAACGCTACGTAATGGCAGAGAAGCGCGCGAGCCTAATCGTCTAACAGGTTTTTTGCATTAGCGCCGTGGGATTCTCGTCGGTCGTTATGTCAGGGCTGCCCCTTCCGCCGGCGCCACTGTCGACGACGGTCGCGTGCGCCGTGCTTCCTTTTTTTTCACTCGACTACGGGCTACTCCTTGTTTCACTCTCTGACATTCGGTCCTCCTCCTACTGCCACTACCTACTGCGGAGGCCGACGTTGCGCCGCTTCACGTATACACAACTGCCTATACACTCCGTCTCTCTGTATACACTCTGCTCGAGGACTGTCCCTCCGCGCGTCTCCTTCGCCTAACGTCTCCACCTGGGGGTACGTGATTATACACTCGGAGCGTTAACAACGGACGACGAGCGTGTCTCGGGTAACCTAGATTACTGTGTTTTTTTTCTTTCTTTCACGCTGCCGGAAGCGAGTATCGGGTAGGTCAGTGCCGGAAGACATTCCAGTGTGCATTAACATCGGTATATCTAACGCGCGTTAACGCTGGCTCTGCGAGTCGGCGAATCAGGCTTCAACAGTCCGTTCCTGTCGTATCGTGTTTCTTTCTGTATACACGCTGCGCGTTATAACTGCACGAGAGAAGGAGACGGAGACGAAGTGGGCGGATACGAGAATTTACTACGAGGAAGTGTACGCAGTAAAAAGGTATATTCTCCTTGGTCACGTTACGCGCGCGTATCGCGCGTCTGGGTCGAGTTTACAAAACGCGCAATGGCCACCGTACGTGCACTGTCAGTCAAGACAGTGTACACTTTGTCCGCGATCATAAGGACGTCGGACTATATACGTCGATTTTCCTCGTGTATATGTACCACCGTCCTCGGGTTCGCGGGAAGCCACGCTCCCTCGGTCCCTGTGTCCAGGTAACGTAAGGCTACCGTAAACGGGTCTTATTCATACACCACGATCCCCAGTCGCAGATTCGTGGCTAATTGGCCGCAGCCGTTCGAGGACAAGGCGACCCTTGTACGTCAGAGTGAGTTTAGTAAGCCAGTGTGTTAACTAGGTATGGTTACGGCTACGGTTGGACGTGCTACCGCGAGTTTTACATAACGACGCTGATTCAGGAGTGTCCGCGATCTCGTTCGTCCATCAATTCGATGATGCTCTTGTTGGAAAATCCAGGTACACGAAAATCGTCTACGAGGCTCATCGTTGTCCTGGGTATGTAACGAAATCTTTTTCATCGGTGTCTGTTTTCGTTTAATTCGGTCGCCCGTGTCTCCTCGGACCTTCACCGTTTGCTACCAATGGATTTCTCCAGAGGCCGAACCGCGAGGAGCCACTTCTGCGTTTACGTCGGTCCCGCCCGAGTGCGGCATTATATTTAGACGCGTTGCAGACACAAAACGACTCGCCACCTCCTTCGTTGCTTCTTACTTCTCTGTCTGTTGTATGTATACTATACTCGTTTGCTACTGTGGTTCGCACTCTCTCTCTCTCTCTATCTCTCTATCTCTCTCTCTCGCCGGTACTGGAATCACGGTCGCGGTACGTGTAACCCACCGTTGGGATCGATCGAGGAAAGGTCTAGGGCTTCTCCGATTTTATGCGTTTCCTATGTCGCGCGTGAGTGCGACAGAGACGCGCTTATCGGCCGTGACGCGAGTCGGAGAGAGAGGCGTACAACGAGCGTGCGAAAAAAAAATGTAGCTAACGTAAAATTGACATAATAAATTTTACTAATTCTAACGCACTTTAGCACTGACTCAAGTCAATTTCTAGATGGAAAAGAAACTTTCTGTCTTTTTTCTTCTTCAGAGTAACTTTTTTTTTTCTTCATTCCACATGCTTATATATGGTGGCTACGCCAGACCAGTATCCTCGTTTCTGGTTTACCGTCTAAGGCACTGATCTCTGCTGACTTTATTATTATTATTGTCACTCTTTTTCACGGTACACCCTGTATATCTACGTCACTCGAAAAATCCAGGAACCATCGCCCACTTGCCGATCACCGCAAGCCTCATTCATTTCCGACGAATCAATCTGTTCTCGTTATTCGATCCTGGCGATACTCGCTTATGCATGCCGTATGCGAGATCGACTCGATGATCTCGGTGCATCGTTGCAGATGACGTTTTCATGCACACGGGAATGCATTTAACTGGCTATCGACATGTGCACGTGTACGCGTGCACCCGATGATGTAAATACAGAAAATAGTCGCGCAATTAATACGGACAATGTACAGGAAGACATCGTCGTGCAGCGCAGCATGCGTCGGTGTCGATGCAGTCAATATAGTCGATAAATTCCTTACTGGTACCTAGAATAGTGTATACGTGTATATACATGCATTATGTATAGCCGGTACACTGGCGCAACTAACATTTCGCTCCATTTTCCTTGTCTGGTTTACATTGGCGACACATTGTACCTATCCCCTAATCCGGTACGTATACCTGGCCTACGGGTGTATAATTCCACGAACCCACAGGGCTATGCCAGTGCGCATACAAGGCCCATTGGTATATTATACGTATTTTTGTTGGTCGTGTCTCTATTAGTTGCATTGTCTAGCGCTAGGCGGCGCTCGCGCTGCCGCTGTACGTCTCCATCTCGTTCACTGTAAGCGGCGCAGATCGCTATCGGCTTTGGAGAATACGTGAGAAACCAAGAGGAGAAACGAGCGTGACGACAAGAGGAATACGAGGAACACGAGGAAGATGAGGACAAGCTGATACAGAAGTGATTTCTCTCGGAGCTGAGTCGACGTGAAACTCGCGGGCACCGATGTCTGTACGCGTTGGATGCGCGCGTGGACTAAAACGCACGAATGGTGCGCTCAGTCGAGTTGTTACGCGAAACAATAATATTTTAGTTGTGAACGAGACGGCAGAGGGTGGGGGGTTGAAAGATTCGTTGGGCAAATATAAAAATAACGTTGGGACCTTAACTTCTTATTTTCTTGCGTGCTTCGCGTATCTTTTCTTATAACGAATCTTCTTCTCACGCACGGTTCCCCAAGGTCGTCGCGCGTACGTGCGTACACACGTGCGCGTATGCATGCGTCGCGACGAAATTCCAGCTCGCGACGTTTCTCGCTTCTTAAAGGGTGTCCTCTCTTGCTCTCTCACTCTCTCTTTTTTCTTGTTCCCCTTATTTTTCCTTCCTCTTCAGCCGGCTGGTCTACCATATTTTTCTCTCGTCTCCAAACCCACCAGCCTCCGACCTCCTTTTTCCTTGGTCGTTACGTCACTTCCGGCGGGATGGCCTCACCGCGACCTCCGGCAAAGTCAGACGCGCCCTCCGCTCTGCTCTCGTTATTCTTGCGCAATGCCAAGAGGGTGTGGACCACGTCGGTATCGCGTATAGGAAGACGCGTTACTCTCGTATTGACGTGCATATATATATATGATATATAGGTGGAGTTTACAGGAGTTTGGCCAGGCATTTACACACGTGTGTCATTATGACGCATGTGACTGGCGTATATAGGTATACCGTATTTACACTTACTTACGTACCAATAATATACGTGCACGCTTAAGTTTGCCCGCTGTGTATATTCCACTCTGCTATGTCGGCTCGTCCTCGGGTGGGGCAACTGCATAAAATGATGCACCTATATGCATCGCGGGTGCAGCTATATGCACGCCGAGCGAGACGGACATTGTATGCAGATGTCGACGCGCACCCTATACCTACCACGTCCTGATACTCCTCTTCTTCTCGCGTCCACATGAGCCGTGGAGCAGATGGATCGCGCGATTGACCTCTCGGGAATGCAGGAGGCCCTCGGGGGGGGGAGGGGGCGTTACACCCTCGACGACGACGTCGCCGTCCTCCGTGATGACATTAGAGGGGGATAGATCGACTGGGAGAGACCCTGGCCCAAGGCTGCAGAGGACTCGAGTGTAGTCTTTGGGCACAACTGTATGCTGAAGTAGTACGCGGTAACGTACGGCAGGGTCTGTTGTACGTGTAAGCGCACGTAACCTAACCTAACCTAACTCAGGATGAACATAGACTCGCGCGTCTATCCGTTTGGGTAACGTCATTCCGTAACCGTGAAAAGCAAGTAACGTCCTCCTGGGCACCTTCCCGAGAACACCGGGCACTCGGGATTCTTGGCCAGTGCCCAGCGACAAGCCACCATCGCGTCAGCTCCGATGGCACTGCACTACGTACACACTGCGCCCTGCCTGCTCTGCGTTACACCACACGAAACCGTAACCGTACGACAGTCCGTGTCACTACAGGCTCGCACACCTTTCTCCGCCTAAAGGCCGCTTCCATCGTGCGTTGCACCGGCGTCCCTACGTCTGCTCTCTCCCCGAACTTGGCAGCGCTCCTACGTGCGATTAGCCAGCTCAGGAATTTCGCAGAAGTTCGCCAATGGGCTGCGTCGGGTACACACCTGTCGTCACTCTAGGACGTTGGTCTGGCTTGGTGTATCTTGGTCGTTAGAATATATATATATGTATATATATATATATATATATGTATATTTATTTTAAGTATATAACCAAGAAAAGTAATTTTTGGATATATAAGTCGCGCGCGTATGTACTCGGGCACTGTGTACGTACGGTAGACGCGGATACGTTGCAAGGTGAAGTGTGGTGTCGCTGTGGGTGTGATTTTTTGGTATTTATCGTATACGAGTGTTTATTGGCTGGAATCGGGATCTAACGGAAATGGCTGCCCGACTTGATACTGGACTGTACTACTTGCCACGACTCTTGGCTGTCGTTGCCCCGGAGCCTATTAACTATCCGTGGGATCCTCAGTCGAGATAGCTAGGCAGTTGATAGGTTAGGGTGTGTCGATGTACTCCGAGAGGAACCGTAAACGAGGTCCAGACCAAGGTCGGCTCTTACGATCCGTGCGTGACATCACGTAGAGACGTAACGGCATTGCGCGACCCGCGCCGGTCGTGTTCGTGTCACGGAGGAAAATCTTGATTGGAGCCACTTTGAGGGACGAGCTTTTAATGCGGGCTTCTTTACTATCATCGGTTCGTCCCTTCCTATACCATGTCCCTATTAACTCTCAGTTCCCATCCGTTTTATTTACTCGTACTGTATCAGCCGGCACGACTCGACTCTATACTCTATTATACTCGGCTCGCTCCAGAGGATCGCGAGGAGCCGCGACGATCTTATTTAGAGACGCTGCAGCCTATTCGGGCCCGAGTGCAACCGAGTGACCAAGCGCCACGGCATAAGAAGAAGACGCGGCCGAGTATTTCGGGCGGCACGGGCCACTGCACTACCCCTACCTTTCGGCCGTTTGCCCCTACCCTTAGAGGAGCGACAGTGTTTTCTCGCGCTCCTAGACCAGCCCCAGGACGAGGTTCGCGCTTTGTAAATGCGGGGAAACATTGCTGCTCGGCATAGACTGGACGGCGAAGTACGTTGACCAATGAGACGCAAGGACAGGAGGGTAGCCTCGGAAGGACCAATGAAAAGCGTCCCTAGACACGGAGCTCTCCTACTATTGGAGCATCGGCCAATGGGAATTCTGGGTATTCTAGGACCTGCCAGGGGTGACTCGAAACTTCGGCTCTCTCTTTGGTTTGCACGTAGACCCCTCCTACATCCCTCTCGTACGGCCAATCGGTGTCCTGGCGCCCCTCGAGTAACCACCTCAGGGTGCTCCGATCGCCTCTCGTCCTGGCTCGCCCCAGAGAGGACGAT